ATATTGTCAAGATGTCAGTCCCTTTCTATGTGAACTATAGATTCAGGGCAATACTGATAGAAATCCCAGCAAGTTATTTTGTGGATATCGACAACGCGATTCTAAAGCTTATATGGAAACTCAAAAGAGCCAACACAAGACTGAGGAAGACGCGAGTGAGGGAAGGACACTGTCTGATGCCACGAAGTCTAGGAAGCCACAGTCATGACGACAGAGTGGTAGAGGTAAAAAGCAGACAGATTAACAGATCTACACAGAGAGCCCAGAAACAGGCCTCCTAACTATAGCTAACTTCTCTGAGAAAGGAGCGAAGGCTATACTGTGGAGAAAGGTCAGTCTTTTCAACAAACGGTGCTGAACAACTGGACATCCGGAATGGGGAAAAATCTAGGCACAGACCTCACAAAAATTTAACTCAAAGTGAATCACCGACCCAAATGCCAAAGGCAAACCTGGAAATGTCCTAGAAGATAACAAAGGAGACTCTAGGTGACCTTGGACTTGGCGATGCGTTTTTAGATACACCACCAAAGGCGTGTGACACACACTGATAAACTGGACTTGATTAAAATTAAAAATTTATGCTCTGAAAAACGCCGTCAAGAGGCATGAGAGAAAATACGTGCGAAAGACGTGTCTGATAAAGGACTGTTATCCACAGTATACAAAGAACTTACAACTCAATGATAAGAGAATAACCTAATTTAAAAATGGGCCGAAGATTTTAACAGACACCTCACCAGAGAAGACAAACGGGGCAAATAAGCATATGAAAAGATGCTCCACATCATATGTTCCCAGGGAGACGTAAATTTAAAAGACACTATATACAATGGTGAAACCCAGCACAGGGACCAAGCGCAGGCGACGGTGTGGCCGAGGGCAACGCACGCGCCGCTGGGGGTGTACCGTGGGTGGTGCAGCCGCTTTGGAGAAACCCGGCCGTTTCTTCCCGAGCTAAACGGACTCTCACCATATGGCCCAGCCACCGTGCACGTTGGTATTTACACAAAGGAGTGGAAAACTTATATCCACACGAAAACCTGCGCACCGATGTTTACGGCAGCTTTTTCCGTAACTGCCGGAGCCTGGAAGCAACCAAGGCGTCCGTCCTTCAGTGGGTGACGGATAGACTGCTGTACACACATCCGACAGAATATTATTCATCAACAGAAACAAGCCACCAAGCCACAAAGAGAACCTTAAATGCGTATTACTAAGTGAAAGGAGCCCGTCTGAAAAGGCTACACACTGTACGACCCCAAGTACGTGACACTCTGGAAAAGGAAAACGCTCGAGGCAGAAAGAACCCCGGTTTCCAGGGGTCAGAGAGGACGGGACGAGTCGGCAGAACAGAGGGTTTGGCGGCAGCGAAACTCTGTGAGACGCTAAAATGACGGACACATGTCACCGTGTATCTGTCCAAACCCACAGAATGCACAACACGCCAAGAGCGAACCTCAGGATCAACTACAGGCTCCGGGTAACGACGCCGTGTCCGCGCAGGTTCCCCCGGCGCACGTGGGCGGCGCTGGTCACCGGGGAGGCCGGGCCCGCGCGGGGAAGGAGGTACCCGGGAAATCTCCGTACCTCCCCTCAGCCTGACTGCAAACCGCAGCTGCTCTAAAAGCCAAAGCCGGTTTTAAACAAGGGAGCTGAAGGCGAAAATGGACGTGAACAGGCGCCGTAAGCGTGGGCGCGCTCCCGGGCACGTGTTCACCAGCAGCGTCGCTGAGATGGAGTCGCTCGCTCACTCTCCCCGGAGCCCAGGCTTTCATCTCTAATCCTGTCCTTTCCACGGAAAGGAACCAGGAGCCTCAGAGTTGATTTCACATCTTGGGGTAGAGAGAACTGGGGGTGGGCCTGGAAAGCACTGTCACCAAAGAGCAACGGGCTCTGGCCCATTTGAGATGCTGTTTAAGACGACGCAGGAGCCAGCTGAAAAGGGGCCCCACTGGCCGCACTATGACAACTCGAACAGTAAAAAGAAAAACTTTAATTATAATTAGCTAAATCATAATAAACCAGTTATAATCAACTAAAGCAAGTTTACGAAGCCCTAATCACATAATGACCCTCAAAGAAAAGAGTTGTTCCTCTTCTCCAGTGACAAGCGCTGCATCCAAGTTGATTTTATTCAAAAAGGAAGGTACAGGGACTGGCAACAGCCCCCACCTCCCAAAGAAAGCCAGGATCTTCTTACCAACAAAAGGTAACGAAGCCGGATCCGGGGGACGGAGGTCTTGCTGTTTTCCCAATAACCACTAGTAAGACAGCATCCCCACCACTCCCACCCCACACCCCTAAAGGGTGCTCGCTTTAATAAATACTCTCCTATTACTACAAATCATTAGAGAAATGTGTCAAGACGTGGATTTTACAAGAACAAGAGACCTTCCAATAAACCCACGGCCTTGAGGCGTGCACAGAGCTCAAGCCCCGCGGCCGGCTGAGTGTGCTTATTTCTGTTGCTAACACTCACCCAAGGATATTTTTTCCACTGATTTTTAGAGAGGGAGGGAGAGAGAAACACCGATGTGAGAGAGACACATGGATCGGCTGCCTCCTGCACGCTCCCCGACCGGGGCCGGGGACCGAGCCTGCAACCCAGGTATGTGCCCCCGACCAGTCATCGAACCCGAGACACTTCGGGGCTCGAGCAGACCCTCTAATCACTGAGCCACACCGGCCAGGGCTCGAATGTGCTTTCAAACTGACTAGAAATTTTCGGGACTCTTCTCTTTGCTTGGGTCAATCTGCAGGCGGGTAGTTTTAACGACTGTCCTTTGTCCTGCGTGTTCTCTAAATGAAATGGACAGAGGTCTTTCCCAGGACAAAGCCAGAGCAAAGGCAAACACACCTGGCTGTACTTACCTGTCGTAGAAAAGGCCAGGGTGAGAAAGAGATCTCCCTGCTCCTGTTAAAACCTCCCACTAAGCCTGACTTGCCTTCACGTCTCACAGGAGACAGTGGGGGGGGATGGTTGACTGTGGGGCTTACTACTCCTCGAGCAAGAAAAAATCAAGTTCCAGAATTTCAGCTTTGTGGCGACGTTCCAAGCAGAGGTGACAGAAGTGAAACGCCCGAGGAAGGGCTGTGTTTGGGGCACTCTGGGAACAGCACGGAGGCCGGTGTGGCTGGGCCCAGGGAGCAAGGGGAAGGGTAGAAGACATGGTTGGGCGGGCAGCCAGGTATGGACTCTGGATTTTATTTTAAGTATCCCTGGAAGCTTCGGATGGTGGACAGAAGGAAAGCAGGGGGAGAACAGCAGAGGAGCTGAGGGTGCGTAAGAGAAGAGCTATAGGGATGGGCCAGGGACGCTGAGCGGAGAGGGAGGGAGGGAGGGAGGGAGACACAGCCGCGGGCAAGACCACCCGACTGGGGGGCTCCACACGGCTCGTGTGCACGTCAGGAGACGTGAGCTGGGAAAAGAAGGGGCAGTGAGTCGAGGGGTCGGTGGCTGAAGGGAGGTTTCTGGAAGTGAAACAGCGGTTGTCCTAGAAAGTGACACAGTGACAAAGGCTGAAGCGTGACCAGGAGAACAAGTGGCTGGGGTGGGCTGGCAAATACGATTTCTGAGGAAAATCAAGGAGCCCAGGGTCTGGGTACCGAATAGATTATTGAAATTGGCAACGGGAGCCCTGGCTGGTGTGGCTCAGTTCCGAGCACTGTCCCGTGCGCGGGAGATTCCCGGTCGGGGCACACGCTCGGGGGCTGCGGGCTCGGTCCCCGGTAAGGGGTGTGCCGGAGGAGCCGATGGATGTTTCTCATCACTGACGTTTCTCTCTCGCCCTCCCTCTCACTTCCTCTCTCTGAAATCAATAAAAACATATTTTTTAAAACTGGCAACGGGAGCAGCAGAGGAGAGTGGGAGGCGGGTGCTCCACCTTCAGAAATGCTCAGGAAGGCTGCTCATCAAAGGGACCTGCGGGCCAGTCTGGCGGCAGCTTTAAAAGGACGTATCGTCATTACGTAAAAAACGTCACTTTAGAACTTCAAAGACTTTCACCAGGAAGTCACTGTGTACAGTATAGAAAAAAATTATGCTAAGGGGGGGGAACCCACATGAAAGGAACTAGTGGGGAACTTATATAAACCCAACGGTAAAGTAATGCGCCGGTAAATGCGCACCCAAGGGCGACGTGTGGAATTCTGACAGCCCAGGCTTCACCCTGTCGCTCGGCCTAACCAGACCTGCTGGGAGGAGGGATGGGAATTGCAGAACATTCGAGAGCTTTCCAAGAACTGTAACTGCGTAACAGCAACACATCTGACGCCGAAAGTATTGTATGGAAAACGTTTTAAAATATACAGCACTTTCTAGCTTTTCTCTAAAAGCTGCATGACATTCTATATGCATCGAGACGACACTACTTCAGAGAAAAGGCCTGTGGCCGCATCGAAACCCTACTCCATGGCTGATGAAACACTGCCAGGGGCACCGCTTCCCACACAAGCCTCCTCTGAAGACAGCATGAAGTCTCATCCCTCTGACAACTTACTAAATCGCTACCTTGGGATGAATTTTGGAGACTACCTTGGGCAGCCCACTCTACCTACCTTTTGCAGGTACACAACGCACAGTGGCCTAGGTAAGTCGCCTGAAAGTCCAGTGGACAGACCAGAAAGCGCTGGGCACGGCCTGCCCCGGCATTTCACAGCATCGGTCACCCGGGGAGCTGTTCGTTTCCCTCACACACGACAACACAGTCAGCTCTAAACAAACACCACATGGTTCATAAGCCAGAAATGCGCTCTGAGCTGTCGAACCGGTGGCCTGGAATTACTGTTTACTCCAGTTTTAATCTCCTTTAATAAAACACATCCCTACAGATATTAAGTAATTTCTACGAAATCGGGGCTGTGAGGGGAAAAGGAGGGCTGCACTCTCTCGCTCTGTCCTTAAACGACCTCAGCACGAGACACCAGAACGGAGCCTACGGGCAAAGGCTAAGGGGAAATGAGTGTGCGCGCCCGTGTAATTTGCTCGGCTCCCGTACCTGTCTCCGCGGTGCTTTCTGTCTCTGCCGTCTCCAGCCCGTCCACGCTGTCTTCATCTTCCACAGACGCCTTCCCCCGGCTGCGAGGCCTGCGGGAAGCACAGACACGGCGTTAAACGCGAACTGCTTAGTATTACACTCAATAGAAAAGTACACAGAATAAGACGTAGGCAACTATTCTAACGTTTTATCCCATTAAACAGTAATGTTTAATGACTCGGCCATTCCCACCCAAACCCTGGCCTGTGTCGCCACAGCTGGCGTCCCAGGTCACTCTGCGTTTTAGGCCCAGCCCCTCGCTGAGCCAACCTTCAGACAACGCCCTCTGTCTAGAGTCATGGTTCCTTTCAAAGTTCATGCACCAGCTACACCACTATGTCTAATGAAGTTAAGGACTGATGCGCAGACAGGTGTGTTTTAAAGAAAGTGATGCACGGCCCTGTCAGCCACTCAGAGAGAGAAAATTATAAGGAGTAAACATGATCTAATCGTATCCACCTTGCAAGTGGGGTGAAATTTAGTTTATAAAGACTTCAGTGAAGTAAACATAAGAGTCGGGGTGATGTGGGATTCTCTGACCCAGTGCAATTAAAAACAAAACAAAAACTAAGGCCTTTAAATTTTTTCATGTCTCGTAAATAAGCGACAGAAATGAGTCAAAAAATTAAAGCACATAAAATAAGAAAAAAACATGACATTACATATTAAAAAAACTTAGCAATGAACAAAGCAGTATTCAGATTTCAGCACATTAAATTATTTAATACTTTAAAAAAAAGATACAAATGAACTCAGTGTTTAGTTGGAAAACATTGATAGAAAATTATACAGGATTAATATGAAACAAATAAAGCAAAAGGCTGTTTTAAACAATAGGAAAGACATTTAAATAAATCTTACTTTTAAAAGCATGATCAACAATTAAAACCAATAAAGGAGATATAAGAATCTTTAAATAAGAATTTTTAATCTCAGAGGGATGGAGGAGGGCCGGTGGGTGTAGGGGGAGGGATTAACCAAAGAATTTATATGTGTATATGCACAACCAGGGACACGGACAATGGAGAGAGACTGGGGAGGGGGGTGGGGTGGAACGGGTCACTGGGGAGAAAAAAGGACATCTATAATATTTTGAACAAAAAGAAAAAAAAAATTTTTTTAAGTGACCAAAGTCAAAATCATTTTATAGGTGAATTATTGCAAACTGTCAAAAAGTCACCTCTACCCTAAAAATACAATTAAAAAGAAACACCTGAACCAAAACACTAACAAACATACGGTGTCCCAAAGAAATGTACACACACCTAACAGCTGACAGCTCAACTGATGTTTCCTTCTTTTCAGATTTAACCCATTGGAAGTAATAATTATTCAAAGTGTGTATAAATTTTGGGGAGACACCCTGTATAGCCAAAAAAAATATGTATTTAAAAAATAAATCTTGCCCTGGCCAGTGTGGCTCAGTTGGTCGAGCATCACCTGTGCACCAAGAGGTCACCGGTTCAATTCTCGGTCAGAGCACATGCCCGAGCTGCTGGCTCAATCCCCAGTCGGGGCGTGCGGGAGGCAGCCGACTGGTGGTTCTTTCTTATCAATGTTTATTTTTCTCTCTCTCTACCTCCCTCTCTCTGTCTAAAATCAATTAAAACATTTTTTTAAAATCTAAATAATACAGACTAAATATAACCAGAATACAAACGTGATTTAATATTGGGAATTTTTCAATATCACATACCAGGTCAAACAGCCAAAACAGCAAAATTTCAAATTTCATGAGGGGAGGGGAGAAAGAGGCAGAACTAAATATGAGAAAACAGAGACGTAATGCTCTGTATTAATCTTATAAATTAAAACCAATTTGAGTTCCTAAAATAATATAGACGACTTCTACTTAAAGCCGCATGGGAGTAAGAAAATTCAAAGTTACCCTCCAGCCACCAACAACTAGAGAACCAGACGAAATATAAGAAAGAGCCATTGTTGGACACTGGACAACAGTCTGGGACAGGACTGTAATCCCTGGACAAAGGGAAACAAACAAGGTGAGCCCCCAATCACAAAGGCTGGCTGCATGGAGTTCATTTAAACTGTAGCCCAGAGGGGAACTCAGACACTGGCCACTGCGCTGAGAAGGGGGAGACAGACCATCAGTCCAGGAGGCTACAAATTACAGGACAGAATCTCTGTGCTGTGCAGGGAAAGAGCTCTCCAGAAACCCGTATAAGGGTCCCCGTGAGTTTTTATCTGGATGCCAATCTGTATAATTGTGCTGTAAAACCCCGTAAGGCTGGACAAGAGCGACTTCAAACAAAGACCAATTGCAGAAGAGCTGCGACGCACACAAGTCCCGGAGATCACAGAGCCGAGTGCTGAGGCCTCACCGGCTGGATGTAACGCATTCAGTAGGGACGACAGTGGAACCAACACACCTTTGGAAGTAAGGCTAATAGACTTTACCCTGACCTGAAAGAGCTGACAGCTAAGTCCCGAGAGACCCCAAATGGTCCACAACTAACTTCGCTGCCAGGCAAGGAAAAAAAGCTGAACACTCACGAAAGCATGACAAAACCTAGCTCTCAGCAGCAACAACATCAAAGCAGGCGGCACCCGGGAAAGGTTTACCAGGTATACCAAGAAGCAGGGAAACGCAAGTCGGAATCAGGAGGAAAACCAAGGAATGGAAACAGAAGACAACGAAGGCGAGAGAACGGACAGGACGGGCCGTGAAACCAGCTATCTCGAGCCTCGTGTGCTCGAGAACCTACCAGAGTGGACTTGAGGAGAGAAACAGAAGATACTAAATACAAACAAAATGGAACTCGTGGGATAACACCAAAAGGTAACATCAAATGAGAATTTCACCCTGAAAGATTAACATCTGATCAGAAATGGCAAAAGAAAAGATAGCTGACCTTAAAGACAGAGCAAAACAATATATCCAAAATTAAAGGGTAAACAGCTATAGGCAACCTTACCCAGCCTTTTTGGTTTTGTTTTTTTTTTTTTTTTTTTTTTGGTTAATTCTCACAATCAGGGCAGGGAGAACCTGCAACCCAGTGTTTTGAAAAGAGAAAAACAAAATTTTCAATAGAAAAACAAAGAGTAATAAAAACTATGACCAGCAATAAAAATTTACAAAAGGAATGAAATGCCCTTTAAACACACTGCCGACCGTCAACCTCACTCACAATTTTAGGAACAGAAATAAAAGCAAGGAGTTATCCTTTTACATATCAAATTAGCAAAGGGCGCTAACGCCCTCACCTGGGCAGGTTACAGACGAGCGTAAACTGGACAACCACCCGGACAGTCTCCTACGTAAGGAGCGTCCAGGACGCAGCTCGTGGTCTCGTGTGTCCAGGTCTTAGAGAAAAACCACCCGGGAAAAATAAAGACCACGTCGCTGTGCGAGTGACTGTCAGGGCGAATCTACGAAGCCTTAAGGGCCTTGCAGCCAAAGCAAAGAGAAAAGCCAGGAGTGACCACAGGCCCATTAAATGGCCAGGAATCGTCCCGGCAGCGCGACCGGGCTCGGAGACTACACGGCATCGCGCCTCCCGCGGAGCCTCCCTGCTGAGGACCCCGCCGAGCTCCCGGGGCTGGACCGTGCGGCGGGAAAACTGTATCGTTATTACCATCAACAGAGCTTTCCAACCAGTACCTGAAGGTATCGTCTTCTTACTGTTGTTTTACTTTTACCACTTTACAGCCCAAGGATTTACAGCGGTAAACAGAGAGCCGTGGCGTGAGCATTTGTTAACAACGACGCTTCGAAAGCCAGAAACGAAAAGCACCAGGAAGAGACCCCCACGGGGACAAGTGTTTCAGAAGGCCCTTGACGCAAAAAATGACAGACTTAAAACTCACGTCCATTTTGTTTACCTGAAATTTCCTTTTAAATAAGTCTTCTTGCGGGGAGGGACACGTGGGAACTACTTTATGTGCAATTCTATAAACCTAAAACTGCCTTAAAAAATTAAATCTATTTTAAAAAATGCATTGACCCATTTAAAAAAAACAACAGCAACTTCTTATGTTCTAGTAAACTGTTTCAAAACAATGTTTTGTGGTGAAATATAGAACAGGATAAAAGAAAGCACAGAAATAAATGTGGGAAAGGGAAATTTACTTAAAAAGGCTCGAGAATCAAAACAGCACCAAATTTCTCAGCAGAAACACTGTAAGTAGAAAATGGGGGGGGGGTCTGACAAATAATACGTATAAAATAAAATGACAGAAACAACTCCAAACATACACAATTATCAACAAGCGGCGATTGTAAAGCATGGGAACAATAGTCCCCAGTAGAAAGACAGAAACTACCAGACCAGATTTTAAACAAAACAGTTTTAAACGATGACCAGACCTTTAAGCATAAAAGCAAAAGATAGTGGAAAATAAAGTTAGAGGGAAAATACTTAAAAGGTGTTCAATCTCGCAGACAATCAGAAAAATGAAATGTGCGACGACGTTAAGATGTTTGTCTCCTTCTACACTGGGGATGCTTTAAATCCGATCACACTGAGCTGGTGAAACCTAAAGCGACGGGTGGGGGCGGAACTGGTGCCACTGTTCCGAAAATCACTCGCCGTTACCCAGGAGAGGTGCCCTGGCACGGTTTTAGCCACAGCTGAGAGTAAGAGAGATTTTAAATTACGACCAAGTACAAACACGACCAGCCAGAGACGCCAACCAGGCAGCGTCCGGAGGCCCAGGAAGGAAGTTCCCTGAAGGCAAATCTGAGACCCAGGAGGGGATGGAGAGGAGGGACGCGAGCGGACGTGTCACTATTTCTAAACTAAACTATACATAATTATATGTAAAGTCAGACAGAAGGAACGCGAAATTTCACAACTTAAAGGTAACTTAGAAAGGAAGCTCCCTCTGCTCCAAAGGCCCAGCCCCCTCCAGCCCCTAGCTGCTCCCAAAAGGCCCTGGACTCTGTCTCCGCTTCCCCCGAGGCCCACCCACTCAGCGCTACTGTGTCCCACTGTGTCCTACGGCGACATCTCTTTTCCAGAGGCCTCTCGTGGTTATTTAAACTGATTTGCTCATTAATATTCGAGCAATAGGGGTTTTTCCCTTCCCT